GCATGTGCATATGTGATATTTCATGTGTTGCATGCTTTTGATAGAGAGAGAATGATTCAACTGTCTGTGAAAAGCCAGCAAAAAACAGAGCAGATATGAAAAGAAAAACAAAAGGTTATTTAGAGTTGCGTACACATGACATACCAATAGGCATAGCCTGTATAATTCTGTTCTCTGGTGGAAACAAGATAACGGACAGGGAAGAGTGATAACAAATCTCCAGAAATGATCGTATGTGGTAAAGAATGCTGGCTAATTAGAACTGGCATTGGAGTTACTTTTGTATAAGAGCAGCAGCAAAGCTAATTTATGTTACAGACTGGTGGTAAATATATGTTAAACCCAGTAGTGAAGACCAGAGTTTCAGAGATCAATACCAACACAGATTCACCAAAGTCATATGTGCACCATTAAAAGAATTACTGAGAATATATTGAAATCAAAGAGTTGATTCAAGACTAGTTTGTGTTTGTGACTAGTGACGCGCATACAGACTTCCTACCTGCTAGCTTTGCTAACAGGTTGTAGTTGCCAATCATGTATTCCTTAAGGATTGGGGTCTCACTATGAAAAGATGCTACATGATCTTAAAATCTCGATGGTAAAATGATCAGTACTTAGAAATGGCTAGTAGCACCGTAACAAGTGTAGTTTGGGCACTGCACGAAATAACAAGTCAAGACTGTTATTCATGGGTACCTATTCTGTTTCTCATTGTTCCAAGAAGCAGCAAATAATTAAACAAAAAACTTGTCTAACTTTACCTGATCAGAAGCACTATAATGGCAAGAACCATCATGGACTTTGAATTCCCAACAGCAAGAAAAACTGGCAGCGTGGTTGCACAAGGAGATAAGGCAGGAACAAGGACGAGTCCAGCAACAGCCATTTTCTCCATGGGTTGGTTATGCATATGACTGTGGCCACCTTTTCCAGACAGAAACAATAATACATAGCTGCCGCCAAGAATTACAAGCAAAAGTGAAGCAAGTTTATGAACAGTCTCTTCACCAGCAATAGTGTTTGCCATTGTGATTGCTGTTATACCGAGAAGTGAAGTTGATATTACATGCAAGACTGCTCCAAAAGCAGCTGG